GAGGTTGGAGCCAGGGGGGTCGGGCTCTGCTCCCCAGGAACAAGGGATGGGACAAGAGGAAAGGGCCTCAAGTTGCCCAGGGGAGGTTGAGGTTGGATCCTGGGAACAATTCCTTCCTGGGAAGGGTTGTCAGGGCCTGGCCCAGGCTGCCCAGGGTGGAGTCCCCATCCCTGGAGGGGTTTCCAAGCCCTGGAGATGGTGCTGGGGGACCTGGGGCAGCCTTGGAAGAGGTGGGTGAATGGTGGGACTGGGTGATCTTTAAGGTCTTTTCCAACCCAAATCATTCAGTGATTTTGAGTCTCACACTTCACTCCAGGATGTCCAGGGTGGCGAGGGAGAAGGGAGGAAAACAAGGTTTCCCCTCTGGCTCCTCAACCACCATCTTTCATGGTGACTGGGAGGGGGGGGGGGGTCACTCCTTTGGTTCTGGGGCTGGTCCTGGGAGGTGGGCACTGGGCAGAGCTCTCAAGGAGCCTTGATGCCACCAGCAGCTCCTGTTCCCACCCTCAGGATGTGGTGGATCACCCAGAGTTCACAACCCCCCTTAGATAACCTCTTCATTTCTCAACCCATTCCTCACACCCCCCCCTTGAGCTGACCCCAACCCCCAGATGATGAGGGTGGGTCCAACTCTCCCACTCAGCTCCATGGGCTCCCAACCTTCTCCAGCAGAGCTGGGATGGATCTCCAGCTCCTCCTTGGTTGCCTCAGTCTTTTTCTCCACTTTCCTCCCAGGCACAAGTCGTGGGACAAGGGAGACAGTCCTGGGCACCTTGGGGAAGGCAACAACACTGAGGGTCCCTCCTGAGTTCCAGAACCTCACCCGACGCTTTGGAGAAGCTACATGGAAGAGGAACACAGAAGACCCAAAGCACAAACTCGTCCTGCTCAGGTACACAGAAGGCAACTACACCAACTACATGAAGGGAAGAACTCGCTTCCACCAGGTGGATTTCTCCTTGGAGATCCTCAACACCAGCAGGCAGGACAGGCAGCTCTACGAGTACTTGGTCAGCAAGGGGCCGGAGGAGGAAGTCTTGCAGATCTGGCTGGATGTGTTTGGTGAGATGTTCTGCTGCCCCAGGAGGACCACACTGGGTGCTCTTGTGGTGCTGGGAGCAGGTCTGGGAGGTGGGTGGTGGTCGAGGTTTGAGGGGAGATGCTCCACCCTGATGTCAAGGTGCTGCAGGGAGTCCCCTTGCACATCTGGGCAGCCCCAGCAGCTTTTGGGTGCCTACCAGACCATGTTCCTCTCTCATGGTCATTGGTTTCTCTCCATCTTCTTCACTGAAAGGGTTGTCAGGGTCTAGCACAGGCTGCCCAGGGTGGAGTCACCAACCCAGGAGGTGTTTAGAAGATGTGGAGCTGAGGGACATGGGTTTGCACTGGACTGGGTAGAGTTGGGTTCATGGTTGGACTTGATGATCCTAAAAGGTCTTTTCCAACCAGTACAATCCTAATGGCTCTATGGTTCTGTCTACCAGGGGTTTAGGAGAACCCAGCAGGATTTCCCAGGCAGGTGCCACGTTTCCATCCTCCTCCAGACACAAACCTTTGCCTCTTCCCTCCCTCCCTCTCTCCAGAGCCTGTCTCTGACCCCAGGATCCAGCACCTCAGCTGGTCCATGGCCAACGGCAGCTGCACCATCACCCTCAACTGCACAGCAGAACGAGGGGACAACATCTCCTACAGCTGGGTCAACCAGGACCTCAGCACCCCGGGGCTCTGCTCCAGCACTGGCAGCATCCTGCACCTTTCCTACCCCTTGCAGAACACCAGCATCTCCTGCAGCTGCAGGGCCAGCAACCCTGTCAGCTACCAGGTTGTCACCTTCAACTCCTCCGGGTGCAGCTACAAACAAGATGGTGAGTCCCCAGTTGCTGGCCTGGCTCTCTCCAACCTTCTGGTCTTAGTCTTGCTTCACAGGGGACTTTTCCACCCTGCTTGAAGCAGCCTCAAAGGGGCTTTCTGCCAGAAAAGTGGCCACTGTGTCACCAACTCATGGTGGCCCAGTCCTTCTTGTCAGGGCCCAACGTGGAGCTGTGGGTCCCATGGGTCTTCTCAGCCACCCTCCCATCCTGGTGCTCCAGGCTCGTGATTAAAGACATGAGACTTGCTCAGTAGCTGACGTGGGGAAGGCACCAACCTTGGTGACAACTTCCCCTTTGGAAGCTCTGGGGGCAAAAAAGTGTCACACTCTCTGTCACGGGGGTTTTCTGACCCTCCCTGGTGACGTGGGGGACTTTCACTGGGGCAGGACAAAGTGGTGGCTGCCCCTTTCCCTGGAGACCTGGAGGTGAAGTCACACCTCTCTTGGGGCTCCCACAGTGTCCTGGATTGAGAAAACACCCCCAGTTGGGACCTTAAGAAAGGGAGATGCTGAAATGAGATGTTCTGAGGGTGGTGGGTTCAGGTTTGTTTCTCACCCCCTTGCCCCCCAAAAAAACCCCCTGGGACCTTGGGACACTCCTGGGTGGTGTCACCACCAGTGGTCCAGGAATGGGGGAGAACCCTGTGGGAACTGTGTCCCCCTGTGATGCAAAGTACCAAGGAGCTGCCTCCCTAAAGCCACCAGAGACCTTTTGAGGACTTGATCTGGCCCTGACGTGGCCTCCAGCTGGTTTTTTTCTCGCTGACTGCTGCAGTCTGGAGATGATGAGAGAGAAGGGTTTCCTGTCCCTTGTTTCCTGTTCTACCAACGTGATCAACCCAAAATTAGGTGATGAGATGAAGGGAGATTTTAGCTGCTCAGCTCTGGGTGGACCCAGGTTATCAACCCAAAAGCAGGTGATGAGATGAAGGGAGATCTTTGTGCTCAGCTCTGGGTGGACCCAGGGTATCAACCCAAAAGCAGGTGATGAGATGAAGGGAGATTTTAGCTGCTGGGTTCTAGGTGGACCCAGGGTATCAACCCAAAAGTGGGTGATGAGATGAAGGGAGATCTTTGTGCTCAGCTCTGGGTGGACCCAGGGTATCAACCCAAAAGTGGGTGATGAGATGAAGGGAGATTTTAGCTGCTGGGTTATAGGTGGACCCAGGGCTGGTGGGTGATGTCCTCTCCTCTCTGCCCCCCATCTCAGACAGCTCCAGCCTGACAACGGAGCAGCTCATACTGGTGGTGCTGTCTGTGGTTTTAGTGATCATCTTCATCATGAGCATCTTTTGGAGAAAGCACAGGGGTGAGTTCTGGTGCTGGGACAGTCAGGGGGTCCAAAGGTGGGGTGGGACTTGGAATTTGGGG